GATACAGTATAAAATTGAGAAGCAAGTCCCCACTGCCAAGAGGAACATGCTAATTTCTGATTTTAAAAAATGATCATTCTTTTCATTATGACATCTTAAGAGGCACTTGATGGTTTCAAAATAATTGCATTATTTCAAGATTTCTAGAATGAGTATGTAATTCTTTCACAATGAAAACTGATTAATCTTTTTGAGATGCTCTTTCTACTTCACCACTCTCTCAATGCCCCCATTCCCGCACCCACATACACTTTTTCCGAAGAAAGTCAAAACAAATGCACTTTAGTAATCAAGTAGATTGCCTTTCTCCATGGCATCCCATGAGCAAGGAATTAAATATTGGGAGCCCAGGTGGATTAGGGCCCCCAGAAAATTTGTTCACCAGAGCGCTACTGATTTTTTAAACCGAATTAAGTACTTTTAGAGTCCAAACTCTCTAGTGTGTCACAGTCTCCACTAACTCCCTCATAATGTTAAGCAACTGCATTATCTTTCTGTCTTCTAAAAGCATCTGAGCATGCCACAGGGCTTATAACTTGGCTGGGCAACTTCTGGATTCTGAAGAAATTCTACTGCAAGTGACATTACCAGATTTGGGGCTTTTTGAAGTATTTGACTATCTCTATACCTGACCATTTAGTTAGGAAATTGCTTCTCACCTGCCAGAAGACCTTTTAGCATTCGTTTAATAATTGAATCAACATCTACTTATCCAAAAAACATGTTGTACTAGGCAGGGAGCTAGGGGCTAGGGAAACTGCAATGAATAGGACAGACCCTGCCTCCAAGCAGCTCAAAGTCAGACAGATGATCAAGTAAACAGGTGCTAACAATACAATGTGACAACATGGTTTTAGAAATACCTAGAAAGATATTACAGGGAAGGGGATGCCAAGAAAGGCTCCTCAGAGGGGAATTTGCCTTAGCAAAGATCCAACAATGAAGGCCTCCCAAGGTTGAAACAGGGCAGGGTGGGGAGGACAGGGTGTAGATGGGTGTTCTGCAGCATGTGCAAAGGCCCAGGAATAAGAAGAGGTAGCATGTGATTTGAGGGACTGTGGACGCTATTGTTAGTGTTACATGTGATGCTCCAAAACAGTTATGTGAACAGAATGTCCTTGGGGGGGGGGGCACATACTTCAAAAGATGCCACTCTACCCATGACCATGTGAAAAAGTGTCTACTCCTACAATAAAAGGTGTACACCTATAGGCAATTCTGAACATTCTGCCAGATATTAAGTTTCTAATGTATTAATAATTTCTAATATAAAAGTTAGAGTTCTTATCATGCAGTCACACTCCTTGATTGGAAAACTCTCAATTTAATAAACATTTCTTTAGTCTCATATCTTTTCTAAAGGGAAGACATTGTTATATTCTTGGGTGAAAAAACATTGAGGTCTCAAAAGAGTATAATAAAATCCCTGGATGCATATATTTTATATGCATATAGACACATAAAAATTCTGAAAGAATAAATTCTAACACATTAATAGAAATGAAAAAATCATGTGTTCTTATTTTCTTGGCTTATCTCTTTAACAAAAAAGTTTTTTTTTTACAATAAACACTTTTTATTTGTGTATTTTTAAAACCTCCATTATATCCTCACAATACACTTTCCTTGCTGGAAGCTCACAATCAGAGAATCCCACAGGGGTCTATGGCCAGGCCCAATGGGCTCACCCCACTCAGTCCTTGTCTTTGCGGACCACTGACACCAGAGATTCAGCCTGCTCTCCCAGCCCTAGTCACTGTCACTACTCACTTCCTCCCTTGTTTCTTCCACCACTAACTGCAAGACTGACTGCAAATCAGATGAAGAACCAGAATCCCAAACCTTTGTGGTCTTAGGGATCTTACTATCAATCAATAAGGGAGAAAGGAGGCAGAAGATCACAAGCATGACAAGTACAGGGAAGGAATTACTTTTCATAAACTTCCAAATTGTCTACATTCAAGGTCAGACGTCAGCACACCCCTGAAATTGGAAATAGCACTGGGTAGGTGCCCACGGCAGGCCCTGAACCACTGATGGTTGTGAAGTTATTCCAAGAAGTCCAGGAATCAGAGGTGTGTTACAAAGACCATTGCTAGAATAAATTAATCTAGCTGTATATATACCATAAATTTTTAAGCATTGCAGATGGATAAATAATCAGATTCATAACATTTAACACCTCTTTCTCATTATTTCTCAATCAAAAGACACTAGAACTATCACTCTCCTATCAGTATCTGCATGATCCTTTAATGTTCAAGCGTCTCCATGTTCAAAGAGGCTGAGAACACTAGTGTAGAGGAATGAGCACAGGTCTCGAGAGGGTGACAAGACAGGGTGTATACCTGGTAGCTTCTTCAATGAACTGAGTAAATTTCAGCATCTTTCTTAAGCTCTCTGAGCTCAGTCTGTATGTCCAAAAGTGAGGATATAATGATTACATGAACCTTCTCTTTAGGGAAAACAAACTGAACTCAGTCTCCCAGCTGACCAGCCACTCCCCCCTTATTCCTCACCTAAGGTCCACCAAGACAGCAGAACAGCAAATGTTAACAAGCCCTTCAACCTCCAAATGAAAGGTCAATTTACCAGGCACTGGCCAGCCCTGACACAGTCGCCTCTAGTGGCACTTCCTCTTACCCACAGACACATAAAAAAAAAGGGTAAAAAAAATTCACATTATTTCTTTTTTTGAATAGTAACACGTAAGGTCAACCTTTGCCTTTAGAACAAAGTGTAACTCGTTCTTAGAAAGTGTGAGAAAGAGTAAACGGTTTATTAAGTTTTATCTACAACCTGAATTGAAAATTATCCTTAAATATGTTCTCAGTGGCTTAGATGAAATGATAGTTAAATATAATTCAAGATAATCCCGTACTATCTCTCCTTAAGATTCCCACCTCCTTTAATGGTGAAGTAAGTCCACTTTACTGGAAATGACACTATTAATACACTATTATAAGTTAAGAAGCACTTTCAATCAAAACAGCAGGATTTTTAAAAATTTTAAATGCCCAGTTTTAAATGCCACAATGAGAAATACATAATAAATATCAGATTCTAATGTAATGAAAACAATGCATTTTTATCTTCAGGGAAAAAAAAGTCTTCTCTGCCATCAGCTATAAATGCATAAAGGGATTATTATCATTATTATACTAAAACAACCTATATATCGTTTTGTAGAACAAGCTTTTAGGGGGACAAAGCAATCATAGAACAGTCCAGTTAAAGTCTTCTTTAGTAGATATACAAGTCCCAGGTATTTAAATCAGAGACAAAAGAAAATACTATCCCTTAATAGGATTACATAGAAAATGAAACATCTCTTACTTTAATAAGAGCAACCATGGTGCTTGTTCCTACAGTGAAAACCGATGTTATCTTAATCAGTTAATTATTCATCCCAACCCCCCTGGCCTTGCTCCTGAGGCATTCATACCTTCTCCACCTCCTGCTGTGTTAACACCAGTTCAATAATTTGCTGATAAAGAATCTTACTGCCACATCTAACAGATCTTAGAGATTAAGTGTGTGGCTCACTCCTTCATTGTACAGATAAGTAAACTGAGCCCAAAAGAACTCAAGTATCTTACCGAAAATAAGCTAGTTAGTTGAAAAACCTACCCAGAGCATTCTCCAGGCCACACCTCTCAGTGGGTGAATCACAGTAATTGTTAAGCCAACTACTCAAGCAGCTATCTACCTGACTGCATGGAGAATGTTTTCAATGGGCCGCATGGCATATTTTAACTGTTAAAATAATCCAAAAGGGTATTAGTCATACACCAACCTCCTTTGGATAGTAAGTGTAGGAGCAGCATTAATTAAGCTGAATCTCCTCTAAGTTATTCTTTTTATTCATAACTACAAGGATGATAGTACCACAGTAAATTACAAAGTACTATAATTTTATTCTTTCCCAATAAGTACATGTTATATGTGCTATGTTCTCAACTAGTAAATCAAATCAATATACCAAACCTGAGGCGGCTTAGGCTGTACATATGGGAAATGATAACTGTTTTAATTAAAGCTTTTTTGATATAGACTGCAGCACAGATCCCAAGCATTTTAAAGATTCACATTAATTCCAATCTCTTAAAAAATGTATTTACAGAGGAAAGCTTCTTTTGCAATTTATATGTTCATAAATGTTTCCATTAAGCTAAGCAATATTTTGGAATGTGGTCAAATGATATTAAATGTCAAGTCCTAATAGCAAGGATAAATCTCTGACAGTTCTCGTATGTGGCCACTGCTCTTTTAAACCAGTGTCCCCAAAGGGCTAAAAGGGAGAAAATCCTAACTTAACAAGTGAAGACAGCAAGGCATATTTTAAAAGCTACCTTTCATTTTCACTCTACTTCCTAAATACAAAATTGGATTTGAACTTCTTTCACACTGTTAACAATTTGGTATTAATATATGCATCTGTCATACCTCCCCCTCAAGAAAGAAGTTATACAGTCCAGCTACATATAACTTCCAAATCCTTTACAAAACTAAATGCGAAAACCAAAATACCGCTCCTTAAAAAAAAAAAGTATGGAGAATTGGCAGACTGCATATTTACGTCAACCTTCAGAAAACATGGAAACACGCAGCCCCAACTCACCAGGAAAATTATTACTTGTGTTCAAACTAGTTTGTGAGATCTATCTTTTATGCATTTCACTTCATACCCAGTATTCCGGTTCTGCACCCGCTTGAATCTATCAACCCCCAAACGTCTCAAGAGCAACCTACTACAGTATAACAGCTTTAACCTGAGCAGTGCAAGAGTTCTGCTCATTGCCTGTGGCGTGATCTTAGAAACACTTGAAGCAAACATATTTATGTCCCCTCTTATTTAAAACGGGGGGACCTCGAGCCTGGGATGTGGCGAAAGGACAGCAACAAGAGAAAAAAAAAATACCCAAACACGGAACATGCTAAGAACAAAGGAAACACAAGCCTGTGAACAGGAAATGAACCAACTCTATACACACAAATACCTTTTGGGGCCGCCAACGTAGGTGAAAGTAAAGGTGGAGTCTGAGTATCTGAAATCTGAAACGGAAAAGTCGTGTTAAAAGCTACCCCTCGAGTGGGTTTTTCACCTTGGTCATGACTTGGGCCCCCTATTTAGTGGAACCAAGGGAAGGCCTGGCGGGCTGGAGAACCGCGAGGTTCCCTCTCCGCGCCACGCAAGAGGGGATGCTGCGCACCCCGGGCCGGGTGCCGCGGGAGGCCGCCCCCCGCAACAAGTGCCGGGTGCCATGGCAACGGCGGGAATTTCCCGGTCGGGGCGGCCGGAAGCGGCCCCCGCCGAGCTAGTGGCTGAGAAAGCAAAATCCGATCCTTCTCCCGGGGGAGCAAAATGGACGAAAGGCGACCCCCAGGCAGGGGAGCAGGGCGCCTCGGGAACCCCGGGAATCCCTTGTCTTTCCGGGGCAACGTACTGCCAGTCGGAGGGGACTAACGGGAGCTGAAGACGCGGAGATCCGGCCAGCGCTGCCCCCCAGGGGCCTCGGCGCCGGGCGCAGCCGGCCGGCGCAACGTAGCGCAGCGCAGCGGGCTCCATTGCCGGCCGCTGCCGCTCAGCCCATTGCGCAAACCCGTTGGTCCTCCCCGCCCGGCTCGGCCGCCGCTGCTGAAAGCCCGGAGGCGGGCAGGGACGCTCGGGGCAGCCACAGGGGACTAAAAAGACCACGCGCGGCACCTCCGCCTAGACCCCTGCTCGGGCTACCGTGGTTCAGCCCCCAGAGCTGGTGGCCGCCCCAAACTGGTGGGGGGGGAGGGGAATAGGGGAGAGGCTGGCGCCCCCTCCCCCTTTTGGCTCCCGCTCCCGCTGCAGCAGCTGTTGCCAAATGAACCCCGGAATGGGGACGTGCAACCCACCCCCAGCCCGAGCCACACACGTCGCGGTCAGAGACCTGGGAAGGGGGGCGGCGGGCGGTCAGGGGACAGCTGGCGCTGGGTGCGAGGCTCCAGAAAGGCGAGAACTCACCTGCAAACAGGCAGTCCTTCTCGGCTCTAGACTTCTGGATCACGACGTCGATATCCTTCTGAATTCGCTCTTGCCTTGAACACATCCCCATTAAATAAATCCCTGGAAAAGAAGCAGCCGCTATTTCCACCCCACCCCACCCCCCTCGCACGCTTCCAGCTTTCGTAAATATTCAGTTAAAAACGAAACCTCTGGCCGAGGCAGGGGCTGAAGGCGAAGTGGTTTCGGAAGTGATCCTGGGTGAAAGAGGAGGAGGTGGTGGAGGAGGGGGGGGGGAGGTCGGCTTTGCATTCCCAGATGTGACCGCCCAGCTGCTGCTCGCCACTGCTGGATTCCAGTTTCCTCCCCTCCTGACAATGGATGGTGATGACACCGAGTCTCACTTTCTCCCTCCCCCGCCCGGACCAACGGCCGTGGGGGGCCAAGGGTGCTGGAGACGGCCGGAGAGCGATCACCCGCGGGGCGGCGGGCGCCGGCGAGGGGCGAGCCCCGCTCCGCCTCACGCGCGCACACCCCTCGCGGCCCGCACGCCGGCCTTCCACACCCGCGCACACTCGCGCCCGCGGGCGGCGGCGGCCGTGCAGAGGCTGCTGCAGCGCCGCCCGCTGCAGACCCTCCCGCGCCCAGTCACCGGGTCCCGGCCGCCGGGGTGTGAATAGTATCCGCCATCCCGGGCGCAGGCTGGGTGTCCCCGCCCCCGCCGCCGCTCGCGCCGGGGGCTGAGTGGGAATGTAGGTAGTGAAGACTCCCCGGGGCTCCCAGCCTGCCACCCCCCCTTCCACCACTTTTATGAATTCGACTCCACTTTCGGAAGGGATTATGAGTCATATGGAAAACCCAAACCAGAGCGGCTGGGGGGGGGGGGGAAGAAAAATCTTTAAAAATTGAAAATAAATAAAACGAACAAATCTTTCCTTGTTGCCACATCAGGCAAGATGGAAAAAGCCTTGAAATGACTCCAGACAGACACCCTCCCGTGCCCTGAACTGCCAAAGTCTTTTTCTCCCAGGTGGAAGTAGTTCAGTCCCTTCGGGACACCTGGTAGGAAATGTAGCCCCTTTCCAGGGACTTCCTCTTACTTACAAAGACTCACCAGTTCTTCCCTCCTAGGTATTTCCGTCCATAAAAAATTGGCAGAATCAAGGAGCACGTGCCAGGGTCTCCCTAGAAGATGGATATCTGTTTGGCTTGTTTTAAAAAGCCGCTCCTTTGCCAGTCAGTCAAGGGGAAGCTCCGACGATCCTGCTGTCTTGTTTAGAAGTGAGATAGTGCTCTGATCCTCACTTCCTGTTCTGCCTAAGGACACCTCAGGGCTGAGGTAGCCGTCCTGCCTCTATATTGCCATATGCCCTAGGACAGGCCTCCAATGGCACTTCTCTTGTTGTTTTTTCCTCCACTGAGGAGGCTTCCCTGAGCAGACCATGTCTCATCTGGTTCTGCATTCCCAGTGCCTGGTGCAGTGCCTGAAAAATAGGAGGCAGGCCTGAATGTTGGCTGAATGCACGAATGGTGGTGCCTTGCAGCTTAATTTCTGTATGCCTACCACAGTCTTAGTCAACTTCCTTATCAGCAGAAGTACCCAAGAGTTGTCAAACTGGCTCAGACCCTGAATCGGTCCAGTCTGGATTCTGATATGGGCAACATGATGGGTAGGAGAATTAGAAATGATTGTCATCCCTGACAGAGTCGTAAGATTCCATAGAGATAAATGCAATGAGAAATCATATGTTCCAACCCCTTTATCTTGCAGGAAAGAAAACATGAAATGATTTGCCCTACAGCCTTGAACACAGCACATTCATTGTGAATTATAAGAGGAAACACTCCGCCTTAAGAAGACCACTGCCATCTCTGATGTCAAAGTTACAATACAGTACATTTTCTGCTCAGACCTCTTCTGAAACATCTTTAGGGGTAGGGCCACGGTGTGCAGCCCCCTTGGCAACCAAAAGCACTTCCTTCTGTTCCACAGAGCACAGAGTATCATGTGTATTTCCCTCCATCCTTCTGTGCTCCAACTTCTCTAAAATGCTTAAAATCTAACAACTCCCCCAAACTTATTTGATGGTTGTCTCTCTGTCCGGGAACTTCACATTCTCAAAGTAGAACCCGTACTACAAATAAATTTCAAATAGTTTTAAACCTACCTGATGTTTTTCGTCTGGAACACCTCTTGGTTTACTACTCCCTTCATAAAATAGGCCTTCTTGTGATTTGTCCTATATTTGATTTTTTTTCTTTCAAGCCTCACAGTCTGCCCTGTTTTTGTTAAACAAAACTGACCTCACTCCGTTCATGCCCTTAAGCTGTGATATATTTAAATATTTTTAAATGTTAAGGGATAAGATAAAAAAAAAAAACCCTTTCTCTCTAGTATGCATTTTTGCAAGATAAGTTTCTCTAATAGAAACTATACCAAGGCATCAGTGTTCCATGCTAGATCCTTATGGCATGATGCTTTCAAATTCAGCCCACAGCCAGTATCCCATTTACCTTACCTCTTATTTAAACATTTAGATTATTTTGCGGTGATTAAAAACTATATGCACGTTTGAAATGAAGAAGTCTTATCTGTGCCTTAACCACTCCTGTGCGCACACACACTCAAATGCATTTAGGAACACAGCACATAGTAGACCTTTAATCAGTTTGTTAAAGAAACAAAAATCACTCACGATGAGGTACAACTCTGGCAGTATGCTATAGGAAATTTAAGATAGTAAGTAATCGATACATTGGATGATTGGGTCTAGTCAAAAAAAGTCCCACCAGTTTAGAAAAAATGATCCCGAGCCAACAAAGAAAATTTATTAGGGGAAAAATGTAAATTCTTCACCTCTGCTGAAAGCCCCAGCTGCAGAAATATAAGGCAATGGAAATGTGGCAATAAGTTCAATGGGTATGCTGTAGTTATTAATAGCTCACACGTGTCCAGAGCTTATTAGAGCAGCCTGGTATTGCTCTAAATGCTTTACATATATTAACTCATTTCATATTCATAATAATCCTCTACGGTAGCTATTACTATAATTCTTCACATTTTATAAAAGAGGAAACTGAGGCACAAAGGGAATAATTAACTTACCTAAGGTGGGAGATAGACTGCAATGAACTTTTTCCTGGCTCCAAAAGTTTCAGCAGTTGAACTGAACTTTGTGGAAAATAGATGTTCAAAAGTCTCACTTCAGAGCAAACTGGCCTCACCAATGGCAGCGGGCCAGGAGTCAAGCTAACAAGAAGCCCTATAATAGATTCTGAAGCAGGCCTGGAGCCTATGGGCTCTCAAAATAGCCTCTCCTGGTGGCAGCGATCTTTCCCTTTCTTGCATTGAACTTCCTTTCCCAAATGAATCTCAGTCCTTGGTAAAGTCTTAAGAAAGGGAAAAGCCTGACCTCTCTTATTTCTTAGGAATTAAAAGGACAGGAGGCAGGATTTGCAAAGAAAACACCCCCCTCTCCCAAATGCATGATGTTGTCCTCAGTAGCAAATCCCCGTGGGAATGCCCAGCAGCCTTGGTCAGCTGTGGAAACAGCACTGTGACAATTTGCTCTTGAGGTAGAATCAGAGTGAAAGAGGGAGAGGGTGAGCCTGAGGGATTACTATGGGAAGAGATCACCAAGAGACTTTCAGCTAAGGTGAGGATGTGGGATTTTATCTGGGAGAAATGGGAAGCCCCTCAAAGGAAGGTGATCTCAAAACTCTTTTCAACAATTAGATTTATAAGAACCTCTTGCAGTGGCTCTGTAATGGAAAGAAATCCATAAAGTTCAAAATGCTTCCTGGGCCCAACCGGCCCCTCCTAAAAAAAAGTGGATTTGGACAATTCTTTCTGCTGGTAGTATTGTTTTGGGAGAAACTAATCCTGTTATCCTGACTTCATTCGGTAGGTCTAGCCATCAAAGTATGAGCAAAACAAAGTACCCTTGAATAAACTTGACAAAATGGAAGACAATTTTAGGTGGTTTGGTGTGAAATTCGTCCCAATTTTGTCCTTAGCATATCCCCTAACTAAAGTCAAATTGAGCAGCACATCGGTCATACTGAGGTTTTACGCCCTTTCTAGCAACCTTAAGACACTTAAAATACCAAAGCTATAACATGAAACCTGAACTGCTCTTTCTAGTTCCAAGCTTCTCTTTAACTTAGTTGCATTTGTCTCTCAATAAGCTTTAATTCCCATTTCTACCAAGAAGCATCCTTGGGGGCACCTGGTTGGCTCAGTTGGTTAAGCGTCTGCTGTTGGCTCAGGTCATGATCTCAAGAGTCCTGGGATCCAGCCCCACATGGGGCTCCCTGCTCAGTGGGGAGCCTGCTTCTCCCTCTGCCCCTCCTCCCACTCATTCTCTCAATCTCTCGAAAGAAAGAAAGAAAGAAAAAAGAAAGAAAGAAAGAAAGAAAGAAAGAAAGAAAGAAAGAAAGGAAGGAAGGAAGGAAGGGAAAGAAAAAGCAAGAAAGAAAGAGGCACCTGAGTGGCTCAGTCGTTAAGCATCTGCCTTCACCTTGGGTCATGATCCCAGGGTCCTGGGTTCGAGACCGCATCGAGCCCCGCATCGGGCTCCCTGCTTAGCGGGAAGCCTGCTTCTCCCTCTCCCACTCCCCCTGCTTGTGTTCTCTCTCTTGCTGTGTCTCTCTCTGTCAAATAAATAAATAAAATCTTTAAAAAAAGAAGAAGAAGAAGAAAGGAAGAGAGAAAGAAAGAAAGAAAGAAAGAAAGAGAAAAAAAGAAAAGGAAAGGAAGAAAGAAAAGAAAAAGCATCCTTGGCCCTTGTTAGATGCCTCACCATCCCATGCAAACAAACTCATACTTCTCAGCTTGTATTCACTTATTAATTCTACTTCGTCTGGAATACCTCTCCTTTTGTTTATTTTTAAAAATGCGTAAATACTGCACGAATATATTCCCAATGCAAACTATTTAAAGCATATATTAATACAGAGTAAAATCTGAAAATTCCCACCCATCTTAACCCCTAAATCCACTTCTGACCCCAAAGATAATTAGTATTAATAGTTATGAGAGAATCCTTCCATTCTGGCATTCATATATCCACATATGTATGTTCATAAATTTATACGTATACATCTTAATTTAAAAGGAACCACATAATATATGTTGTTTTGCAACTCGATTTCGCCACTGTCTTGGAGAACTTTCTATGTCAATACAAAGAGATCTACCGCATTCCTTTTAGCTACTGCAGAGAATTTTATTGAATGGACATGCCATAATACATTTTAACCATGCCTCTGCAGTCATGATAGGTTTTTCCAAATGTTTTGTGATTAAAACAATTTGCAATAAATGCATATCTTTATGCACAATTTCAGCCGTTTCTTTGGATAGATCGGTAAAAGTGGACTGACTGGATCACAGGGAACTGACAATTTAAAAATTTGATAGGAACAAGCAAATTGTTCTCAAAATTACC